CGAAAAGTGGCCTAAAGGCGCGCAGGTCGCGTCAAAGTAGACGGCGTAGCTCCTGAAAGTGGCACCCAGCCCTCTTCCATATAGTACGCCTCATTGTACACTCTTTCCAAAAGTGGCAGGTGCATGAGGCGAAAGTGCCTGCACTGCACACCACGAAAGTTGCCATCCAGGTACTGGTTCAGATCATTCACCAAAGTGTACGGATGCGCAAAGTGATAGACCATGCAGAAAGTAGCCCACGACGGCTCCCAAGGCACCTGTAGGCTTGCAGTCTTCACCAAAAAGTCGCAGTACCTGCGATTCCACATCCGGGCACGACCAGTGCCAAAGTAGATCGCGAGCCATTGCTGAGTGACCCGAAAGCCAAAAGTGGCAATCATCTCGTCTGCCGAGAACTGAAAAGTTCTTCCCTGCAGCTGGGATATCGACAGTTGGAAAGTGTAGAACAAAAGTGCGCTCCGAGGGCTGAAGGAAAGGTTCAAAGAGCCCTCCAAAGCTCCAACCACGTCTTCAACATTCAGCACAAAAGTGCCGTCTGCTGGGCTGTCGCCATGCACCGTTGGAAAGTCGACAACGGCAAAGTGACCCAGAACATAAAGGGTGCCCATGACGACGGCATGCCAGGCAAAGTTGTACCAGGAGGCACATTGTAAACCCATTGCACCCGACTCTGCGCCAAAAGTAAAAGTTCTGGCGGAGTGTAGCTTGGGTTCGGTGGAGCAGTTCCAGGGAAAAGTACAGCGTGAGCAAGCGCCATGTTGGTGGGAAAGTATCCCCTGGACGAAAAAGCTGCTCTGTCTGGCGTCCACTGAAAAGTTTCTCCAGCATGAACTGCAAAGTGGCCCAGAAGCCAAACGTCGAAAAGTCTGGCACGTAGGTACCCCGCACAAAGTCCCGCTGGGTCGGAGAGTGTACCGGCACAGCCTTCGGCAAAGTCTTAGGCGGCATGACCTGCCGCAAAGTACCTCTCGTGCCAGCTTCCTGGCAAAGTTGATCACTCTCGGCCCAAAGTGGGCCGTGCCTGCCACCACAAAGAAGACCAAAAGTACGAACAAAAGTCCGTAAAAGATCACACTGATGATAAAGTTGGCCACCGGATCAGGTGCCAAAGTGGGTGGCTCCGGCGGCACCGGTTGCCCACAGGCCTCAAAGTCTCTGCGGGAAAGTGCAGCCTCTAAGTCCACAGACACCGGTGTGGACGGCCCGTGAGGCCCCAAAGTTGTTCCGTAGAGCACCCGGTCCTCTAAGGCTCGACTGAGCAAAATTCGGAGGAGACGGATCTCCCCAGGCGAAAGTGGAGGCTCCGGGCCCTCCATCGTCAAAGTCTTTCAGAAAGTTGCAGTCGCAACGTAAAGTCACAGAAGCCATTGCACGGCAAAGCGAGCGAACGACCAAAGTTGAGGTGGAAAGCGTTGCGGCGAAAAGGCGCAAAGTAAAACACAAACCCACGACAAAACCCGAACACCCTGAACAGAAAGTCGAGTGAGCTCAGATATGTACATTAAAGACAAAGTGGTGCCTCGCACCGGAAAATCACCATCGGAAAAGTCATTCACCTCATCCGGAAAAATTTACACACACACACACACACTTTAAGGGTTTGGGGTTTAGGGATTTGGCGTTTAGGGTTGATATCGACGTGGGTTCCCGCCAACAGCAAGCCACAGACATATATAGACCTGGGAAGCCCTATAAATCCGACATATCTTGAGCCCTGAATCTTCTGTTTTAAACCGCAAGCCCGGAGCCTCTAATTGCGAAATCTTAAGTGTGCTGAACTAAATCGGATCAGTTCGGTATCGCGTTTCTCATGGAGACGTGGGGCTAAGAATTGGGAGATTTACTTAGACTGTAGTGGTTCAGCAGTGCATGTAGTCCTTTCCCAGCTTGCAGGTACTGGGTGCTCAATCTGCAGTGTAATGGATACCTATAGTGTACGTTCCTACACTCATTGAGACGGCAAATACCTCACAGGTTTCACAAAAACTCTAGTAAGCCAAGACCCTAAATGCTGAACCGAACGCCTTCCAAGTCCCTCAACCATGATGCAGTTTGATGTTTCGGAAAGTTTGATGTGTCAGATTAATTGAACCTACAGGAGATTGACCCGACAAACTCACAGTGCCCAGAACAAGGCATGCAAATCCTAAACTAACTTACAGTTGAACTGGCACCTTCAACTCATGAGAACTGATGTGTCCATAAGCCCTAAATCGAAGTGGTATTGATTATACATTTTCCAAATTGCTGTAGGCCTGTAGGTTCAACTTCGAGGACTGCGGAATTTGACGGTCTGGGGGGTTTAGGATTAAGGTTCATTGTGCGCGGGTTTATATGGTTTGAGATTGAATATTTGGGTTCCCGCACCCTGAACCCTGCAAGCCCTAAATTTAGTGTAAGTGAGTTCTCCGGGAAGAGTTGTACGTTGCTGCCCAAGGTGCTCGTGCACCTGGCCTGGCAGGACGCTTTGCTTTCAAGCTCTCCGACCCTCCACATCAAGCAGCATGTGTGTGTGTGCGCGCCTGGCGGTATACATAACAAATAGGTATAAAAGCATGCTTTCGTATATGTTCATACATATGTATATATAGATATATATACATATATGTATATACTTTGAAAGTAT